AGAAGAGGCAGTCTAGATTGTACAGTCCTTGGAGCAGGGACCTATTGCTTTTTTTTTTGTTACTCTGTAAAGGGAAAGGTGATAGAGTTCATTATCTGTCTATCACTTTCAATGTAAGTGCTGTGTGGAACCTTACATATTAACACAGGGGTGTCAAACATGCGGCCCCAGGGCCGGATCGGGCCCCTGGAGAGCATGTATTAGGCCTGCAGTGGAACTGGTTGTCTTCTGCTTCTTCTTCCAGTTCTGCTGCTGCTGTGTCATCATAGGTTTGCAGTTTACACACCTGAACAGCATACTCAAGATTGCAACAGCACAGACATTTTGATGCAATAATTCAGAGCAAGAGGTGTCAGTTATCAGACACTGTTAAATAAACAAAATATTGCAAGAGTGCTAATGTTTTAAGCATGTTTTTATTTTAAGTAAAAAAAACCACCTTTGTTTTTGTGTCCTTTATAAAGTTTTTATCTCCGCTACCTGGCATTACATTTGATGACACATATGGCCTGGCCCAACAAGGTCTCATTTATGTCAAATCCAGGCCTCATAACAAATGAGTTCAACATCCCTGGATTAATGTAACCTGTCCCTGGCTCAAGGAGCTGATCCCTGGAAGTTCCCCGCTCTAACAGCCTGCTTGGGCATGAAGCTAAAATAGAAGCCTTCTATCTAGTAACTGCTCCCCCCAAGTTATACAGAGGCCATATTTCATATGATGGGCCATTACCAAAAGGGGCCAGAAGAAGCCAGAACAACCATTGCCAAACTATCCAGCAGGTACTCAGGCCTGTTGTGATACTGTGACTTTCATAAAGTATTCAGCTTAAACGTACAAACATGTATTTGTGTAGGTGTGTGTGTATTTGATTACTTGATCCTGCAAGTTATGGGGAAGGTCAAGAAAAAAAAATGTCCAGGGCACTGAAGTCCCAAGCCTTGACCGCTAAAAAATTGCTCCTCTCAGAGATTTCATCAAGTACAGGCCAAGCAGAAACTGCCCATTCATATTTTTCAAATGTGCCTCCTGAGGCCAAGGATTCTGTTAAACCCAGAAATCCATCTTCTCTGGGCCCAGCTGCCATTGGTCTATAGTGCCTCACCACTCATGGTACTTTCCATTAACCCAGTGCCCACTATTATGGTGCTCTAGTCCAGGCAGAATGGAAAGAGAAAAGGACTGGTCACTATAATCAGTGCCATGGATTGTTGACCCTGCTTACTATGTCTTCAACCCTGCTAAATACTGTTGTCATTTCACTCCTAACTCATGCAAATTCCTACCACTGTGGGCTCTCATTAAGAGAGAGCTTGCTGCGGTCATTGGGGATAGGTGGAATGGAATTTCCGAGCTGTACCCCAGTCCTGTGATTCCATGCAGGCCCTCCATTTGTCAGCATATCAAACAGTCAAGTGGTAGTGCCAGTCATGACAACAGCAAAAGCAGGTCACCCATGGACAAGGTAAGGGGTCTCTACATTCTTGTTCCCTAGGTATACAGAAAACATGACTTTGTAAATTAACTGAAAGGAAAAAAAGAAGACCCCCTCTAATAAAATAATGTGATGAAGACTATGTTTCAGGAGCATGGATTCATATTTAGAGCAGATGAGAGCCAGTTAAGGGAAAATCAGAAAGGGGGAAATTAGGGTAATTAAGCCTCTGACAGCTTATAGAATGCTGGAGGGTGGGGAATGGAGTTTCCAAATTCTTCCTCCCTACACACCCACTGCAATTGCTCATGGGACGCAATCCCAGCTTGTTTTACACAGACCAGAAATGTGATTTGGTGTCTCCAAGTACTGGACACCAAATATCTTTTGAAGCCATGCTTATTAATAATAGACTTCTTCCCACACACTCTTCAGAATTTCTCTGGAGTGAGCACAGATGTCCATGACCTGTCCAGGCAGGATCTTTATTTATTGGCTTTTGGTTACAAGGCTCTGCCTTTACTTAGGGCTGTTCCCAGATTTGCTCTTCTTCTCAGACATGATTCCTTGCACTGAATTCAAAGCACCCCAGCTCTTTAATTTTTATACTATTCTGTCTCTCCCTTTGGCCTGCACAAGGACTCTGTACAGGCCTCATCTGCACACGAAGAAGAAGGAGGGCTGTACCACATTTAGACTGCAGGTAGTGTCTCACATTTTTAAAATGCTCCTCACATGAAAAACTTTGCACAAATAGAAAACCTGCACAATTCTCAGAGGGCTTATCTAACCCCTTCCCCTTGTTTTCCGTTTGCATAGAGTTTGTTTCCAGTGGAAGAACATTCAGAAGTTGTGTGCACCACTTGGAATTTAAGTAGTACAGTCCATTCTACCACTTCACTCCCAATGCTTCCTCTAAGCTACGAAGTCCTGTGAACAAAAATTCTACTTTGTGAGCTACTGGCATTAAAGTTGTGATCAGGTGATTTGGCTACTGCACAAATTAGTTTGCTCTGGAGCAATGTTCCCTTTAAGCTATGGAGCCCTGTGAGCAAAGATTCTACTTTGTGAGCTATTGGCATGAAAGTTGTGAGCAGGAGATTTGGCTGCTGTATACATTAGTTTGCTCTGGAGCCCTCCTTCCTGAGCTAAGACAAAAATGTGTGAGCCGGAGGCTAAAAAACTGTGAGCTAGCTCACACTAACTTAGCTTAGAGAGAACACTGCTCTGGAGCCATCCTTCCTGAGCTAAGACAAAAAATGTGTGAGCCAGAGGCTAAAAAACTGTGAGCTAGCTCACACTAACTCAGCTTAGAGGAAACACTGAAGTCACTTTCACATCTATGGCATGTGCAGATCCAGCTTCTGTTCAATCTCTTGGCAACTTTTCTGCTCACATTAAGCAGAGTGTGACTAGTAGATAAGAGGGAATGTTTCAACCTCTTTTGCTGATAACATTTTGTGCAGTGATCTCCAATGTGTAGCCTGAGTTTCATTTCCATATCTTTAGATTTGAGAAAGGACATTGAAACTGTTCTGCGGATTTGTAGGCTCCTATTGCCAGTTTTTGGGGCCTGGCACTATTGAGTTTGATGCATCCATTCTGTACCTGCCAACCAATAGCTGAATTACCATTGGTCCTGACTCTCTGTTGATGGGGAAATAGAGAGCTCAGCTAGGAGTGACAGGCTTCTCAGTGATCCGTATCACTCTTCATGTTTTCCTGAGTTACAAGACCCTTTGGGGAAATGTGCTTTTGCATAGTGTGCCTACCAGGAATCAGGACAGCAAAAGTGAGAGGGAATGGGAAAGGGCAGAGGGGCTGAATGACAGCTTTCTTTCTAGGGAGAAACAAGGAGAGCACATGTCTTGGCTTGTGAGTTGGACGTAAGAATTGTACAGATATATATATATTTGTATATTTGATGGAATTAGGTAAGCTTCTGGTGTACATTTATGTGTGCAAATTTTTCAGTATGGATATGTGTTGGGGGTTCCTTGGAGTACACAGTAACCCATTATTTTCAGACCTCAGCATTTCCTTTTCTCTTTCTTACCGTAACAGACATTTCATACACTCACACACATACAGCTACACATGTAATGGGGTTTTTTAAATTGCTTGCCTATATCTAAGCTCCCTAAACATTGGCTGTGTTGCTGTGATACCTCAAAACATTCAAGAACATTCTAAATTCTCAGATCAGTACTTACGATTACAGGAAGCTGTGAAAGCTGGAATAACACGCGTAGATTATGTCTGGTGACATTTCCAAAGCTACAAAGGATGGGGTGGTATTTGTAGTGGTCAGGAAAGTGGCATCGTCACACTCAGCTTTTTGCCTCCCCAGAATGAATTGCGTAAAATAAGCAAATATATACAAATCTGCTTTATCTGCAAGATTCAGCACAATGTTTGAATTACCTTGGCACTCAGCTTAGGACCATGGGGCCAAGCTTGAGAGTACAGTAGATGCAGGACAAGGGGCTCAGGGAAGGGAGAAGGAATTCAGAGGCAGAACAGAGTTGAGAGATCTGAGAAACCTCAGGGAAGGACAGGCTAGCAAGCTTAAGGAAGCAGCAAGGTCTAAGCAGCAGGGATTGAAATACACTTTTTGATATGAACCAACCAGCCATACATCTGCTTGAACATTCTATCTATCTGCCTGTCTGCCTGCCTGTCTGTCTTCCCTGCCCTACCCCAGGAATGGGCTCAGGATGGCTCACAACATAAAACCAACAAACAATAAAATAATTAAAAAATAAATAGCAACAGTGAATAAAACCAAAACCCATGCTTCATATCAGGCAGGCATAATTACCCCAAGAAATTCCAGTGCCCAAGTAATATCCAGAACAGCAAGGGCACTGGGAAAAGTGTCATGGACAGGGGGGCCAGAATGGCTGAACACCCACTGCCTCAGCTCTCTTTATAGTTAACTAAGTTTGCTACCTCAAAAGGATGCTGAACATTACCCAGCTCTGAACTGTGGAAAGGGTCTATAAATAAACATTTAATTTCAGAACCACTGAAAATTGATGAGCATGACTTTCTCCGAGTCTTGTTCAGGGTGGGGGGTGTCTTTATTCGCTGGACTAATATGAAGATTACTTTATTCTGCAGTCCAAATGCATTGTTCGGAAACAACAGACAACACCTGACCTTGAATGTCTAGTTCCATCTGGGCATGAATACCCAGAGGGCATTTCTGGGCAGAAAGTGTTGAGAACA